AAAGTATTTACCTTGCCCTTAAAGGCAAGGATGGTGAAGCTTTGATTCATATTCTCTGAGCAGGTTGCTAGGAGACACTATTCCATGGAAACATATTATGTAGGGAAGAGTGGAGTGTCAGCAAAGGAGAAGACGACTCAAAATGAGATGGACTGACATGGTGACAGCGGAAATGGCCTCAAGTGTACTGGAGATAGTGAGGATGGCACAGGAGAGGTCAGGGTTCACACTGTTGCTCTTAGGGTCACTATGAGTCATACTGGATTCATGAGCATCTTACAACAGAACTCTGGTAACACGGTCCATAAGGAGTTGTGTTGCTAACCAAAGATGGCAACTAGTGCTCTAGGAGTTCAAATCCAATAGTGGCTCCAAGAGAGAAAGATGTGCAAGCTCTTCCCATGAGTCTTAGCCTCCCCAAAACCCTGCTGGAGATGCCTTGGGCCACAGAATCAGAACAGAGCAAGGAAACACTGCATGGTTCAAAATTGGGAAGGGTGTACGGCAGGGATGTGTCCTGTCTCCATACCTTTTCAACCTGTATGCAGAACAGATTATCCGGGACGTTTGGCTCTATGAGGAGAAATGTGGGGTCAAGATTGGTGGACAATTTATCAACAATCTGCGTTATGCAGATGACACAACCCTGCTTGCTGAAACTGAGGAGGACCTGAAGCACTTGCTGCAGAGAGTCAAGGACTGCAGCCTCCACGATGGATTGAGGCTCAATGTCAAGAAGACAAAGATTCTCACCATTGGGCCAATTGGCAGCATCAGGATGGATGGTGAAGAGATTGAGACTGTTCACAGCTTCAGTCTGCTAGGCTCCGCAGTCAACACTCTCGGCACCAGCAGCCAGGAAATTAGAAGACATATTGCCATGGGAAAGTCTGCTGTTAGGGACCTCTCCAAAGTACTGAAGAGTAATGGTGTCTCTTTGAGACCAAGGTGCATCTGACACAGGCCATGGTCTTTGCTATCACTTGTTATGCATTGGCGAGATGGACAATGACTAAGGAGAATAGAAGGAGAATTGATGTCTTAGAGCTGTGGTGCTGGAGAAGAGTATTGAGGGTACCATGGACTGCTAGGAAAACAAACAGATTTGTCCTGGAAAGGGTTAAACTGGGATGCTCCTTGGAGGCAAGGATTCTAAGGCTCTGTCTGACATACTTTGAACATGTCTGGTCCTTGGAGAGGGACATCATGCTTGGTAGGGTGGAGGGACAGCGCAGAAGGGGAAGGCTCCCTATGAGGTGGACTGATTCAGTGACTGGGGTAATCGGGATGGGTGTGTCAGAGACGGTGCAACTGGCACAGGACAGAGCAGAGTTTAAGGATATTGTACATAGGGTCGCTATGAGTCGCAAGCGACTCCATGGCACATAACAACAACAACATATACGTATACATGAAGATGCATCTAAAATACATTCTATGTATATGTATATACTATAATGAGAAAGACTTCTGCAAAGTTTGAGCTACTCAGCTAGGCAAGAGAAAACTCCCAATCTGCTGAAGCTGCCACAATGGGAAACGCCACATGTTTAGTCAATTTTTGAAGTGCTGTCTTAAGAAACTCAGCAATTACAGGGAATCTAGGCAAAATTCTGCAAGAGCAGCTTTCCTTCTAAGTCTATGTCTAAAATGCATTTGATTATTAATCAAATCTCCACACATGTGCAATATATTTTCCTAGGTACTCATTTGTTCCTTAGAAAGTTTTGAGAATGAATAAATAACTCTCAGGATATGACAAAGCATACAGGAAGCAATGAGGTTTCTTCAAACATGAACTTAGATCTTAAACAAGCAAGAGGCACTTCCCATGAGCATGCCCTCCACAACAAAAACAGACAAGACCAACTGAAACTTGTGTAATGGTATCTTAGCTATGTATATAGAAACATGTTCAAATGATACGAAACCAAAAGAAGAAAGTAAAAAAGTAATGAAGTATAATAACAAAGCAATCTGAATCCTTATCTGTGCATTTAGATTCAGGGAAACTGCATAGTGTATACATTCTCTAAATTACTACCTTGGATGTACGTGTTTCGTTTCTGAGCACACTAAGGTTTCCTGAAAGCCACAGAAAGTGTCTAGTGTCAAGTCTTTTGTTCTACTCTGGTTAGAACCTTGCTACCTGTATCTGATTTGCCACATGAATGACCTTTTGATGAGGCTTTATTCATCTAACTGTTATTTCATCAATTAAAAAGGAATCTACATGCTGAACTCCGTTTTGTTCTTTGAGATGCTTAAAACATTTTGCAAAAGCAATGCTATAAATGCTAAAGTCAATAAGAGTAATCTATATGGTTTGCAATATTTATTGATATTGTTAAGTATCATTGAGTCTTCTACATTTCACAGAGATCTTGTGGACAAAAGATCAGAGCCTCATTCTATCCTGCGTCACCCTCATCATAACCTTCATATTTGATTCCAATGTTATTAGCATCACTGTGTCAATTCAGCTTGTGAAGAGGCTTCCTGTTGTTCACTGGCCCTTCTACCTTTCCCAGAATGATGTCCTTGGGCAAAGACTAGCTCTTCTCGACAATATGCCCAAAAGGAGTGAGATGAAGTTTCACCATCCTTGCCTCTAAAGTACATTCCAACTGAACTTCCAAGACAGACTTGTTTATTGTTTTGGCAGTCTAGACATTCACTTCTTTTCCAACACCACAATTCAAAGGCATCGATGATCCTTCTTCTGTCATCCTTATCACTAACCAATTTTTAGATGTATAGACAGCATTTGAAAATGTTTGATTAGGAACATGTTAGTCTTTAATCTGGCATCTTTGCTCTTTAGTACTCTGGAGAGATCCTTGACAATAGACTTCCCCAATCCAATATGTCTTTTGATTTCTTAACTGCTGCTACTTGTTTATAGTTTGCGCTTATCGGTACAGTACTTGCCATTCTGTTCAATATATTGGGGTGACTTGCATGTTGTTGTGATACTGGAAGTCATCCCACCAATATTTCAAATATAAGCAAGATCACCCCATAGTAGCCAGGTTTCAGTGGGGTTTTCAGGCAGATAGAGACTATGAAGCAAGACTACCCATAACTTCTGAGATAACAAGTTTTGCAAACACTATGAACCACTATTATGACCTTAGATATAATGTCACCAAACAGAAGTGCTACCCTCCAACAGTCAACATAGTGGTAATATAACAGTAACACATATACATAGAATATACAGAGTAACGTAATGCTAGTCCAAACTACAACATTTTTCTTGAGTGTCCTTTTTGTTTGTAGATGAGAAGGTAAGCAGGGACAGTTAAAGAAATCAAACAGGAATACTGAAAAGATTGAGAAGCTGGTGGGGCTTTAGAATCTTTTCAAGTCTGTTTTAGAAAACATGATTTTTCTTTTCTTTGTGATCATGAGAACTTCTACACCTAGATCTGTTAAGAGTCATTGAGTGGTAGGGTGAAGAAGGTTGATAAAAAAGGATCCAAACAAAAAAATACAAGAGGAAAGCAGAGAAACATGATACATCAAGAGATCAAGTTTCAATATTTGAGTCTTCCATTTAGCACAGTATCCCCATCTAACCACTGCCTTTTTCCTTTTCTCCCCAGCACAGTTTAACATTGGGAAAAGACAGTATGTTGGAAAGGATGACAGCAAGGTAAAAAGAGAAAGAACCTCAATCTTCATCAGTCATTAAAGCAATGGGCTTGGACATGCCAGGGGTCATGGGGTAACACAGGATAGGGCAGAGTCCATTGTCCACAGACACAGTCATGATCTGAAATCAACTCAATGACACCTAAGAACAACAGCAAAGTGTGGCAGGTGGCCGGTAGCATCAACTGAGTGACTGTAATAGGCTAGGTATTCTGCCATATACTTGAAATGCGTCCACTACTTATCCCACACACAAGGATTATTATCAACCGTATTACATAGAGAAGAAATTTCAGAGTGATTCAGAGAGGAGCACTTGGTTTCCAATAGTTAAACAGTGAATGTCAAGGATTTAAACCAATGTATGTAGGGAGGTACCCACTGGTGCAAAGGTTAATGGTTCAAGGGGACTCAAAAATATCTGGCATTCTAATGCCCCTCAAAGTCATATGGAAATCTTGACACTGACATACACAGGATCATCACTTGACATACACAGTCACCACAAGTCAACATCAACTCAATGGTAACTCAAAAGTCAAAGTGTGGGGCTGAATCTGGTACCCATTACTTCCTACCCCAACCTCCTCCACCCATGATGACACTGCTTATGGAATGAGGGGATAAGAAGGGAATGCTAAGTGTCATTCAGCACCAAATAACCACTTGCTGAAAACTATTTTAGATATAAGTAACCATAATTAATCAATTTATTTGTAACTTGTCACGTCTTTTTTACAAGGTATGTTACATTTGCAACAGGTCACAAGAAATGACATGTTTATTTTTACAATAGCCAACAGTTAAAGGACTGTAAATATTATTATTATTATTTTGAAATTGGCAATGCATTCATAAACCCAATATATTGATATATTTACTGTAAATTCTAAAAATACCTATTTTAAAGTATTTACTTATATAATTAGTTCACTTGGATTATATTTCATTCATGTATGTTATGGGGGGGGTGTCTTCCCACTAACAATCATCTTACTAACAACTGCCTTGGTGAAAATGACAAGTAGTCAACTACTTCATGCCTCATGCCTGTCCCTTTTAGATGGCCAATTTCTGATTTGTCCATACCTAAAAAAATAACTATAAATTTTAATGTTCCAAGCCCATTTTGCCCACTCACAAGAAGATCAAAGTTCTGTTCGTGCCTCTCTCTTTTAACATAGAGTAAAATTATTGCATTGACTTTTATGGGAGTAGTTTAACTACAGGAAATATCTATTGTTTTCTGATTGTTAGCCTTCTTTTTTTTTACTTGATCAGGAGAATTCCTATTACCTTCAACAGGTGAAACTGAGGGAAAGCAGAAATAGCAGCTACCTTACCTGTTTAAGAGCCTTTTTGGTGTGTTGCTGAAAGGAAGACACTAACTTGCTTTGCACTGCTGTGTTAGTAAGGCTTGAATCTCGAGTGGAAGACGCTTCGTCAGTTACCTGCTTTGCACAAACTAGAGAGAGAGAGAGATAATGACATTACTAATTTAAATTCTTTTTTTTATACCCACTGTAATTAACTCACTTGGAGCTTTTCTCCATCTGAAAATGGAAACTTAAAATAAAGCAACAGAGCTCAGTAAAGCAAAGGGCACCTAGATTTGAAAGAAGGATGATTTAACACATGTGTGACCAAGTTACACTTCACCTCTCTAGGCTCCTATCCTTGGAGGCATGATGGTGAAACCCGTCCGACATACTTTGGGCATGTTGTTATGAAGTACCACTCTTAGAAAAAGACATCATGCTGGTAAAGTGGAGGGTTCAAGAAAAGATGAAGATTCTCAACAAGATATACTGACACAGCAACTGTAGCAATATGGGTTCAAGTATATCAGAGGATATGAGGAGGACATAGGATAGGGCAAAGTTCAGAGCTGCTGCTCCTAGAGTTGCTATGAGTTGAAGTCAACTTGAAAACATCTAACAATAACAACAAATCCCATAACTCATTTCCATCAAGTCAGAACTGACTCAGAGCTGACCCTCCTTATTGGGTTTCTAATACCAGCTTTGTTCCAAAGACCGGCTGGTGGATTCGAACCACTAAAGAGGTTCAGCCTTTGGGTCAGCTACACAACTTCCTTTAAACAATGTGACTTGTGTTTCCTAAGAGGAATTTAGGGGGGGGGGCGGATAACTTGATAGCACATGGTAAAAGTGTTAAATACGACTTTTTAAGGGAATCAGGGTCAATATTAATTCAAGAAAATTTCCCAATCAACTGTAACTCAGGAGGATATTGATGGGTTTTTAATAACGGGTTGTGGAGGGGCAGAAAAGTTATTTAAACAAAAAAGAAGGTATGTATGTATGTACTTGGTGAGTGCACTCATGTGGCTTCCAACTGCCCTCAGCATATAATTACCTAGAAACTGCAACATAACTTATGAAAGAGAATTTGAGGGGGGGAAAAAGAGTTAATCACAGTTTTCTTCTTATGGACTTCTTAGGATGTCGAAGGAACAAATCTGTTGGGAAAAATTCAGTTACTAATATCAGGTGCTTAACATACATGATCTCATTTGATCCAATCGATGCCTTTGCTTTGTGGTATTGAGGAAGAATACTGAATAGCCTATTAGTTGCTAACAGAAAAAAATATACCTTAGAGAAAGTACAGCCAGAGTGATCATAGAAGCCAGGATGATGAAACATCATCTTCCATTCTTTATGTATGTGGTTAGGAATGGCCAGTTCTTGATAAAAGACAGAATGCTTGAAAGGGTGGAGAGTCAGAGAAAAAGAGGAAGCCCTTCAATGAGATCAATCGATGCAATGACTGTAGTAATGGGCTTAAGTTCATCAGGGATGATAAGAATGGTGCAGTGTTCAGATTAACTACTTATGGGATTGTTGAGTCAGCAACTCAGTGGTAACTAACACCAAAAACAACAACAGGATGTTGTTGTTATGTGCCAGTTGAGTCCTTTGAGACTCAACAGCCCTAAACCCTGCTCTATCCTGTGCCAATCTCATTGCCTCTGACACACCCATCCCGACTACCCCAGTCACTGAATCAATCCACCTCATAGAGGGTCTTCCCCTCCTGCGCTGTCCCTCCACTCTACCCAGCATGATGTCCCTCTCTAAAGACCTGTCTCTCCTTACAGCATGTCCAAAGTATGTCAGGCAAAGCCCCAGAATCCTTGCCTCCAAGGAGCAGCCTGATTTAACCCTCTCAAGGATGAATCTGTTTGTTTTCTTGGCAGTCCATGGTACATTCAATACTCTTCTCCAGCACCACAGCTCAAAGGCGTCAATTCTCCTATCCTCCCTAGTCATTGTCCAACTCTCTGATGCATAGCAAGTGATTGCAAAAACCATGGCCTGTATCAGACGCACCTTAGTCTCCAGAGAGACACCTTTGCAGTATTATTTCCATACTGGAGAGAGAAAACAAACTTGCAAAGGCTAAGTCACTTGTTAATAGACAAAGAAAAGACAAAAAAAATAGACAGTGAAAGCTCTGGTGGCTCAGTGAGTAAAGAGTTGCACCACCAATCCCAAAGCATGGTTCAAATCTTCCAGCCTCTCTGTGGGATACAATTGAGGAATAGACTCCTGTGCAATTTACAGCCTCTGAAAACCTGTTGGAGGGTCAACTATGCATAGGTTCTGACTCGACAGCACGTAACAAGCAGCAATGGGAATGGAGAGCTGGGCTCTAAGGCTGGACTAGCTCCCAAGTACAAGATTTCTTTTTTATCCATAGAGTTGATATCAAAAGCTATGAACTGAAGCAGAAAATCAATGTCAAAAGAAGTTTCATTTGCTTGCCTCATGCTGGAGGTACAGATACAGGACACTAATAAGGTTGGAGGAATTCTTTTCTTGGAAGCTAGCATAAAATCACTGAGAAATGCAGGTGAGTGATGGGTCCATGAAGCACTGGTTGAAATGGTAAAAAAGAAGTAATAAGAAAGGTCCTTGAATTAAACATAAGACAGCTTATGCCACTTTTCCTTAAAATAAGTCTAAAATGTTCTAGTAAAGATACATTTATCACACAGCATGCATAAACTATGGCTTCTACACACTCCCTTCCTGGAAATGACCACGAGAGAAATCTGTAACACTTTATTCATCTTTATCAAGAAATATACAAAATAATCATCAATCTATTTTCTAAAGATAAACCTATTTTGTGCATATTACACAGATGGCTTTCTCAATACTCCAGTGTTCCTCTAAAGCATGACAAATTGGGGATACGAGGGAGAGATGGCAGAGAGAATATACAATCTCAGCTGAATATTCAATCCCTACTTCAACGTCTGTAATGTGAGCCCAGACTGAAAAGGAAATTGTCTTGGCAAATGTGTTTTATTACCTTTAAATTCTGAGAGCAGTATTTTGATGCAGAAATTGGCAACTTAATAATATCAGGAAAAAAAGAGATCCAAATGCATTTCGTGCATCTTCAGGAATTTATGGAAAACAGGAGAATGATTCTTGTATATTAGACATAAAAATCCAAACTTCCTAACTTATCTGCTTAGGAAATGCTTTTATTTGTAAGCCTCTCAAAGGTAAACTTCAATGCAGCAGGACTAAATGAAAACAAACCATTAATCAGTGTATATGTAATTAAGGCCTTACTTCCCTTGAATATGCCGGCTGCTGAAGCAAGCAGAACAGGATCCACTGGGCTTCCGGAGGGTAGAGATCTCTAGCTCACAACAACCTCTCTTTCTCTGATCTAGGACACCAAAGGCACGCTACTTCACTATCAGCACATACATACAGTCTATGTCTATCCTAGTTTAAATTAATTAGTTCACTCTTTGGATAGTGATTAATATATATGAGCTTATTGTGTTTTCCTAAAGAAAAAAAAAATCTCTTTCGTTTAGAGCCCAGAACTTTAGCTGAAGGGCAGGATAATAGAGTTGAAACAGTAGCAGGAAATACGGTAAAATCTTTTCTCAAAATGATTGATTTTTCTTTAGTCCAACTCTATTTACTTTATCTTACACTCTATCTTAAACTCAACTGAAGTGTCATGACAATTCCACTGTTAGTAATTTTCTTTCACAATCCTTTTCTTTTTCTTCTAACAATTCAGTCCTCATTTCTGTGTCTCTTGTCAAACTATAGTCTCCCTAATTACATATTTTTTATAAAGTAAATACAGAACCTTAAATAAATGTATAATAGGAAAATCTAATGACTCTTCAAAATGTATGCCTTGTAATAATCTTTAATCCTTACACCAAAAAATTGTTGCTGTTGTTATGTGTCGTTGAGTCGCTTGCTATTGTTGATAAAAATATCTAAACTAATCCATTGCTAAAGAATTTTGATTCACAGAAACACAGTAGAGTTGAATATAATGGCCCCACTGGGATTCTAAGGGTAGAGTCTTCATGGAAGTAGACAGCTAGGCCTTTATGGCATGGAGGGACTGGAAGATTTGAATAATGGATCTTTATGTTAGTAGTCACCTGGGAAGGGTGGAAGGTCGGTGAAGATAAGGAAGACTCTCAACCTGGTGGACTGACAGAGTGTCTGCTGTAATGGACTCTTGTGTGTCGGGAAGACGGCACAGGATAGAACAGGAATCAGATCTTTGGGGCACAGGATCACTTTGAGTCACGCTCAACACGATGGCATCTAACAACAACAGTCAAGCAAATACTTTAAGCACTGTGCCATGTGGGTTTCTTCAAACTAAACATTTTAGCTTACTTAGTAAGAATTCCAACCTTAAGCATCATGCTATTTCAAAATACTCTCTGTTTGGGATGGAACTGACAATGATGACTCAAAAGTTTATCCAGAAAGTTGGATGGAAGGAAGGAGGAGAATTAGCTAGGTTATATTAGTGGGGGAGGTACAATTTGGAAAGAGAAAGGTTACATGGCTACGTAATTTAACAACATAGTCAACGTCACTGAACTGAACAAGCAGGTATCATTGAATGTAAGTATTTTACTGTATGTTTTAAACAATAATTTTAAAAAATGTACTAGAACAGATGAGTGGGAAACTGTCTAGAAGATATCATTTGTGTATATACATTATATGTATGACCATAATCTGGAATAAGAGGCACAAAGTGGACCAGGGGAAGGAGGAAGGAGGAAAATTTGTAATAATCAATGAATAAAGACCCAACCTCTAAACTTTTGTTAAAAGCACAATTTTAAAAATGTAAGAGGAAAATCTAGGATAGATTATTCCTCTTTACTGGAAACAATTTTTTTTTTTTAGGGAAATATGAGAAGGCGCACAAATCACTAAATCAGTCTGTGTGTATGTGCTGTATACATATATTTTTTTTTTCTCTCTGAAAACTCGAATGACAAAATAGTTAAAGGACCCAGCCACTAACCACAAGGTTGGTAGTTCAAATCTATCAGCAGCTCTAGGGCAGAAAAGACCAAGAAATCTCTTCCTGTAAAGATTACCGTGTAAGAAATCTTATTATGTGACAATTGTTTTGTCATAA